GGCGATACGTTCCTCCGAAACGTCGGTTAACACTACATATACACGGTGCCAAATCCCAGAAGACTGCTTTCTTCATAGTCACCGCCGTGAAAGCCTCAAATCTTACATACGAATTTTATGTACATCCCGAATTCAACACTTTATCTGCCACAGGTCGGTGTTCGGCGAATATGAACATTCCAGCTTCCAAAATTGGGGCCCTTCAAAAGGGTGCCAAGATGTAAAGTGGCGATTTCTTAAATGGTTAAAACAATCTTGATGATGCCTGCAGACCCCATAGCTACACGAATAAACCTGCAGGGGTATTATCTTCAGGAAAGTAACGATAGGGGCACTAGGGGTCAAAAGCGAAATATCGATTTTGTGCAACCTGCTTTATTGGACAGATGAATTTCACTGCCGTTCCTCGTTCAGCAACCAACAATTGCGCATCGAGCAACAATCACTCCCCTTTCCGACGTACGTAGTCAAGGTCAATCATACCGGTAAGACGTCTGTTGCCTCCCATGGGCCCCAGTCAAACGAGAACGAGGTCATGACTAAGGCGATGCGGAGTGACCTTTACCTGACACACGACAGTAGCCACACGCCCACTGCTCTGATTGCAAAGGTCAAAGTCATTAAAGCAAATAAAGCAACGATCATGTCTTATCATTACGCTGTAAGTTTAAATATTCCCGTATGATCCAAATATATGATCTAGACAAGTTTTGCTTTCGGAACAAGTCTGATATTCTAATTTGATCAATATTAAAATCCCAATTAACGGTTCTAGTTCCAGCGAATGTGAAAGATCTGGTTTGGCCTAACCCGTGGAAGGAAGGAGAAGATCAGAAGACTCGTTTTCTGCACGTAATCAATTTTCGATGCAGCGACAGCCCTACGCAACGAAGATGCTTTGACCAATGAATGAATCATCGCCAATGCTGCTTGTGTCCCCTTAATAAGTACTGATCATTACAGTTCATTACAACAAATAAATAAATAAGAGGAAATGTATATATATGTTATAGTCCGCCTATATATAGGCATGTTTACTTCTGCGAGATATGCCTCTCGACGGTGCCTGTGCTGATACCTGTCTCCTGAGACGTGAAGCCCTTTATTATGACAAAAGTTCTACCTTGAAGACAGAAGCACTACCTCTACCAGAAACACCGTTATATTTCTAACAGACTACATCGCATCACAACCAAGAAACATCTTCTAACATCACTTCGGTTACTCATTAGATACGTACCCATTCTTCTCCTGAGCTTATATTCAAATAAACTGTAGTTTAGTAAGGGAACTGTTTATGTGCTACAGCGCATGTTCTTCATTCTTGTAATTACATGCGTATCAGATAATCTTCTTCATAAATCTTTAAGGAACGTCATAAATAATATAAATACTAAGGAACCACTTTAACCACTTAACCGGCAGATGAAAATTAACACACTGCGAGCAACAAACAATGGAACGTGTCTTTAACTTCAGGTTCTAAAACAAAAGGATATTATTTTTCCCCCTTGGCACTACAGCCCCAGTGGGCCTAGGCCTACCTCCATGAACTTCTCTGTTAACTTCGGTTTTTCTAGATCTTACACATTCGGTAGGACTCCTTGGGCGGGTGATCAGCTCGTCGCAAGGCCTTTATCTGTACACAAACACAGAAAAACGCACACACACAAACTAAACATCCATACCGAGTGGGATTCCAACCCACGTTCCCGGTTTCCAAGCGAGCGAAGACAGTACATGGCTTAGACCGCTCGGCTACCGTGACCGGTGGATATTATATTGCAGATGATCTATTATTTACCGGTTCGGCGACGCGTGGAAGTAAGTTTTGTACATATCGAATTAATTCCATGGAGCAAAGTATTTCCAGAGATGTTTATAGTCAATCTACTAGGCAACAAATTAGTCGACTCCTTTGGAATCCGAGAATTCAGTACCGTGTTTATAAGAGCCCATCGGGGATCACTATCCTGAGTCAGATTAATCCAGCATTCTAATTTGTGCACAAAACCATAGCATTTCGGAATCTGGTTCTGTTTCCACTTTCGTATGACGTGAATATGAATAGAGGGGCCTCAATCCCTGGGTCCAAGGTGTGACAGTGGCTAGAGATGTGTTATGATTTGAATTTCAACGCAAATCTTATCCTGTTTTGTTACTAACCTCTTGATGCAGTTACAATGTACGTATATATCCACTGAAACGAAGTCATGTACACGTGCACGGCTGGAACGTCACTGACAGGCCAAAGGAGATCGCGAAACTGTTCCCCTAGGCCTGGCCCGGATCCAGCCACAAACTGCACATAGTGCATTATTTTTAGGTCTGTCATGGTCTTAACCTACTAATGAATGCAATTTTGAGGAACTTAGTGGCACCTCCACGTTTCCTTCTTCAGTAGAACTGGAAGTGGACAGTGTTTTCAAATGTGTTCTTTTTGTGTCTATATCACACATTGAAACCATGCCCACAGGGCGTCTGGAAAACAAGGAGACAAAAATTCTTATGAACATAACATAAAAAAAATGATATGACGTAATGATGCGGACAGAATGACGTACGACCGTAACTTTGCACTCCCTGCATGCGCTGAAAACACGGGAAACACATGAAATGCCTCGTACCAACAGTCTATGACTCCTAGCTCTGTACTAAACCTGATATTTTTTTTTTCGTCTGGCGCTACAGCCCGAATTTTGGCCTACCTCCATGAAACTCTCTGATTCACTTCGGTTTACTAGATCTAAGACATTCGGTAGTAGGAGTCCTTGAGCGGGTGATCAGCTCGTCGCAAGGCCTCTACCTGTACACAAACACTAAACATCCATGTCCTGAGTGGGATTCGAACCCACGATCTCGGCTTCTTGTGAACGAAGACAGTGCATGCCTTAGATCGCTCGGCTACCGTGACCGTCACCTGAGGTTATTATGGCGGTGAAAACTTGTATGTTGCGATCTTGTGGGTTATGTTACTGTGCAACCACTTTCAAGATTACATATCGTAATAAGAAAGAATACCACAGTTTACAGTGGACTAGCCTGTACTTCCTTATAGAATGTTCATCCTCTTTGCTGTTTAGATAGTTTCCTTCAGCTCCTCTATCCATAACCTAGGAAAATAAAACATATTAATATTACGAATACCGTTTCTACCATTGTCCTGACACTGTACGTAAGACAGGTTTACTTACACGCAGGTCCTGAGTAGCCAAGAGATGAAATTCGCAGCTAGTGTTACTGTGGGAAGAATTTCTGGTGATTTATAGGGTTCATTTGTAATCTGAGGATATCAGGTCTATATCTTTTGGAATGTAACGCCAAATAGGTGTACCTTCGGAAGAAGGTACTATCTCGGACTCGAAGGTGACCATGAAGGTTGAAGCAACACGTTCCTTATAGTTAGTTAGTTAGTTAGTTAGTTAGTTACTGGAGAGGGCGTGTTTCCCCATGCACTAAGACCAGTATTGGTCCATTGTGCTTCCCTCTGTGATATTCTACCAGTCTCTATACCCTACCGATATTGGTGCGTACCATCAGTCCCGACCGAGCCAGCGAGTTCGGCCTCTACTGGCTTAGCGGTATCTACAATGCTTCCCCCATCTATCAGAGGCGTTAGAGACTACTGTTGGGCGGGAAATGTCCTTGAATTTAGCTCAGTGACCTCCTTTGGAGATATGAGGTTCTTTTATGTGCCGTAAAGCTACGATACGGGACCCACGGCTTAAAGTCCCTCCCGGAGGACTTGTTCCCTGTTCCGCCCTTAAAAATTCCACGACCTCCACCGGGTTTGAACCCGCGTACCACGAGTCATGAGGTGGGAACTTTACCTCTAGACTACGGAGGCCGCTTTTCTTATAAATATATCCCATATAACACGACGTCACATCGCAAAAGATAGTAATTATTTTATCTCTTTTATTTGGGGTGGATGTTCGTGTATTTTCGGCTACCTCCCCGGTTAGATAAGATCTGTGCGACAACAGTAAGATACCTGGCATTCTTTCGTAATTCCGTTTGATAAAATGCCTTTCAACTGATCAATTGTGCCAATGTATGTAACTTCTTGCGTAACATTCTGTTTGTGGTTGGAATGGTGACAGCTGCAGTGTTTGAGGAGAAGTTGGAAGGACTTCAACAAATGATGAGGCTCAAACCGAAAGGTGATTTTACATATTATGTATGAGCCGAGAAAACCAAAAATTAACTGCCCCATATTTCTTAACCAATTTCCCATAAAATTCACCAGAACAGATCCCGTGAAGTTAAACTGTAATTAAGGACCTACCGTAAGCGCAAATGACTGAAATAACAAAAAAATGTATATCGTTTTCGTAATTTATAACAGTGTATATTAAAAGAAGACAGTTTCAAGCTTTCTACAACTGGAAACACCAGGCCTGAAATCTAGGGGCCTATTTCACATAGACCATTACTTATATGTATAATTACATCACATCTCCTGAGGATGTTCAAAATCATCACAGGTTGTAATTTACGAGCTCATTATATGGTTTTATTTCCCAATGTAACTTGAAATTTCCGATTATATTTTATAAGATTTTCCATAAACACCTCGCCTATTTGGCGTTCAGATGAAGACATAGGTGGCATGCTTCTGACATATGCATTTATTCTATGATGAGGTTACAGAATCTTCATAACTGCTTCCAGTCACTCAATCAACAATAATTCCCATCTTCAGAATAATGTTGGCGTAGATTTTCGTTTCTCTGCGTGGTGAAGCCCATATGAAACACAAACAGACACATATTCTATTAGCAAATAAAAGTGGTAGGAGCGTATTTCCAGAAATCTTTCTGTGATATTTTGAATATTTCATTCATGTCTGTGTTTATTTGTTGTGAATATTACACATGAATTGTTTCCAGCTCAAATACTTCCTGGCTCAGAGATGGAGCTCCAGCTTAAGGACGGAAGATGTGATTATGTGGTGTCTGGTTAGGGCTATCGCATATCTCACGGAGCGGTGGGAAGTATGGAAGAATGGTAGAATTATGATGAGCAGGGGAACCCTGAAGAAACTCGGAGAAAAGCCTGCCCCAGAGCCACTCTATCCACACCTAAGCTCATATGACGTCATCCGGAACTGAAATCGGCATGCAGTGGCGAGAAACCAGGGTCTAAACGCCTAAGCATATTATTTCAGTCACACGTCAATTACCAAGATTAGTTAGGATTTATTTTATTGAAACAATTTACTTATCATACATACTTCATAATGCTGCGTATGTAGCATAACTATGAAATTACTGCAATATTATAAAACAAATAAAGAAGTAAACAACAGGTGAAAATGAAATTGGCCCAAAACCAAAATTAACGGAAATCCGCTAAAGTGTTTGACCGACTAAAATCTAAAACCGAAATACACGTATGTACTCTCCATTAGACGTTCACTTCAAGCACTTTGGGAAAGATTTCATAAAAATAGGTTCACCGAATACCCCTTTCCCTACCAGACGTTTCACCACACAACATTGCCCTTTTTTTAATTGATTTTTTTAACACGCATAATAAGGGGTGGAGTCCAGCTGGATCCACTCGGCACGTCGGCCACTGATTGGCCTATTGTACCTGCCCCGGGTGATTTTGATGATGGAGAATTTGGTGGGATGAAGATTGGAAAGGGAAACCGAAGTACTCGCAGAAATCCTGCCCCAGCGCCACTTTGTCCACCATAAATCCCACTCGACCAGACCCGGGCTCGAACCCGGGCCACTGCGGTGGGAAGCCAGCGACTAACCGCTTGAGCTATGGCGCGGGCCGACACTGCCCTTCCTCCCAACCTCCTTCTGATCTTTCTTGTACATTGCGAACTCTTCTGTCCCTCAGACACGCGCGTGTCGTCATGTAGTCGCTTGTTTATCTGTTCGCGTATTTAGTGGTGTTTAATGAGAACACACAGATGTGCTTCAAGCTTACAAGAACGTGGAGAGAAACGGTTGTGACCTAATTTAATGAGAAAAACTGACATGTCTACAGTGAATGAATTAACTGCTGAAACGTCAGTCAGACCATTGTCCTGAATAAGGTTCGAATTGGGGTATATCTTATGCTAAGCAGGACTTCAGCCATCCTTTCCATGCTGGCAGACGGTAGAGCGAAGGGTGTTACGAGGGGACCATGTGGTAAGCAGAGAGAATACAATAAATTTCAGGGTTCCACATTTCCTGTAGAGTGCCTTGGGATTCCAGATAGATGCGGAATTTCCGGTTTGGGGAACTGGAAAAATTCGTTCAGCTGCATAATTTGAAACTCTTCATTTATGATTAATAATTATGTCTGTTCTAACTTCCGCCGGTCATGGTAGCCGAGTTCGCTCAGAATCCGGGATCGTGGGTTCGAATCACACACAAGGCATGAATTTTTGCTATGAGTATGTGTTTATTCTGTGTTTGTGTTGTCCTGTGTTTAGGTAGAGGCCTAGCGACAAGCTGATCAACCGTCCAAGGAGGCCTATCGTCTGTAAAAAAAAAACTCGACACCGTAAAGGTAAAAGAGGAACGGGTTAAGTATGTAAGTTCTAACATCCGGCTCACTGACTGAATGACTTACTAAGAGAAAATAACCATATTGTAGTGTGCTGGAATGGTGACCATCGGGTGAAATGGTCTGCATTTTGAGGAAGATATGTGTACAAAGGCTGCTATATCGACTTCATCCAGCAAAAAATACTCATTTGTGAGAGAACGGCCCTAAAGTATGATGCTCCTTATTATATAATTCCTTCTAGCCTCTTGTTACCTCTGCTCTTTTAGATCCTGCCCAGAATCTGTTCTAAAGGGGCCCATACACGTACGAGTCTGGCTCGCGAGTCCGACTCGGCTCGGGTTCCAATGAGCCAAACTCGTCCGTGTGTGGGTCGCAAAGTTGGTAGTCAGCTCATGCGTTTGTGGTGAAATTAAACCGAGCCCGGCTCCCGAGTCAAGCTCGCCGAGCCAGACTCGTACGTGCATGGGTCCCTTTAAAGCCCTCAATCGAGGTATTTCCTTCAGTATGAGGGCCCAAGTACTACGTCCATGCGCTCATCTCTATCTCTGTTTCCTGTTGCTTCCATTCGGGAGCACAGGGAATCCGTGAAAATCTTTGTTTTACTTCAGTTCTTAATCCTAAAATAGTCGGTAGGCCTCCTGGGGCAGGGGATGAGCCCGATGCAAGACCGCTACCTAATAAACACAGAATAAACGCATACATCCATGCCATGAGTGGGATCCGAACCCACAATCCCAGTGTTCGAGCGAACGAAGACAGTTCTTTAATTAGACGGCGCGGCCATTGTGATCAATGTGATAGGTCCATACCCTAATATAACAGGTAAAATCATATTTACTTCCTGCTTTGTGGATCTACGATCCTTTCACAGCCGTGGCCTCCTGCAAGACAAACGACCATTATTCTCTATCATCCGCCTCTTGTCTCCACGTCTTAACCTTTTGCTGTCGTACATCATTCTCTACATCTTCCATCCATCTCAATCTGAGACCTTCCTCTTTTCTTCTACATTCTCGCTTATTTAAAAAAAATGCCGTAACCACCCTTGTTTCACCCTTTCTAATCACATGCCCCAACCAGTTGATCCTCCTCCTTTTAATATCCGATACCAGATAAGGAGTTTTATTTCTCTACTTCATTTTTCTTATAAAGTTCTAATTGCAAAGAGTAAAACATTAAGACGATTACTGCAAATTCGGTAAGTGGTAAGGAAATCATATCGCCCATTATGACAGGATGTACCAGTACCACATTCAAACCATGTTTTAAAAATTAAAACAGAATAAATATTTCTACTGAAATCGGTCTATGCAAGGTCTGGTTTTCCGTGTTACCCTTTATGCAGTCCTATATACCGCGGACAGTGCTTGGACGTATTACGCAGAAACAAAAGTCGGTGACGGTAATTAGTGGTTCGCCACAGATTGCGACATGTTGCGGTTAGGACACTAATTTATGGCAGGAAGTGCTATATTATCCTGATTGACTTATCATTACGAGAAATCTACGTTTTGCAAATACGACTTACGTAATACTTAACTGCAGCTTCCCTATTAGTTAAGACGACTGAACCGGTCACATTATACGAGGAAGCCAACTGGAAACATGGCGCCCGAGTGCATTTCACTTTGTAACAGACAAGATGGCGCTTTATGCTGTACGCCAATAATTCGACGATGGAGCTATAATGATGGTGAATTTTACTGTAGGAAACAAGAAAGATGAACAATGATAAGTTGGAATTTCCGATGAAGTTGTGGAGCCACTTGAAGGGGAATTCAATCACTGGAGATATCGTGTGAGATTGAATTAAATGGTACTGGAGCAGGTCTCCTTTCGAGTTTTCCTGCTAACCACCACTCCACCATTGCTACGCACTTGAAGTGAGCGATAGTACATTCTCAGACCGCAATGTAAGAAGTCTTTTTCTGTTGTTATTTAAATCTGCGTTTGCCTAAACTTTCATATATTTTTTCCCCTTGGCACTACAGCCCCAGTGGGCCTAGGCCTACCTCCACGAACTTCTCCGTTAACTTCGGAAACTTTCATATACAGGATTATAATTTTAAAAAAGTTCAAAACAAGTTCCTATGCCTAAATTGTAAAGGGAAATATTATAGAAATTATATTCATATATTAGTTTTCTGCATCTAAGAAACCAATGCATGTCAGTCATAATGCTGAGTTGTTTTTTATTTATCCTGAGAATGAAACAACCCTGCAATTCCACTCTTCCTGTAAACGATGGAAGCAGGGAATATTAAAATAGGTGTAGACAAAAATGCCACAGCATTATTAAGAGTCGCAACAATGAGGTTAATAATTTGGATGTCGTCCTTTAAGAGTTTATTTTAACACCCTCATTATGTCTCCAGTAACGGCTTATATTAATAATTCTGAATTACTATTGTTGTTTTCAGGCATATGACCTCTCTTGTCTCGTAAATGTTTCAGATGTTCAACCAAAAAGCCGGTAACCATGTACCAGTCTAACGGTGTTGTCCCAGAATACAGTATCTTAACAACTGAGGACCTCAAACCCCACGTTTAAACCTCCGACTCAGAATTTCTGGTACCGGTATTACAATATATAGTTCTACTTGCTATGCAAATTTCTTTAAGCCATGAAACATTGTCGTTATAGCAGGCAGTTACCCAGATCCTCTTTAAATAATTTCAAGGCCGCGCCATAGCTCAGGTGGTTAGTCGCCGGCTTCCCACCGCGGCGGCCCTGGTTCGAGCCCAGGTCAGGTCAAGTGGGATTTGTGGGGGGAAAAGTGGTGCTGGGGCACGTTTTTTTCCGACTATTTCCGTTTCCCCTTCCAATCTTCATAACAGCCTCACTGGTTTGCACATTCTAAAGATCACTGTAACTGCAGCACACATTCAGCCTTCTATATCTTCACTAGTCGTTACCTGGTAACGTATCTTAACAATGTCCTCTGCTAACGTCTTTACCGGCTGGCGAATATCCCACAACTGGCTAAAGTCAAAGTCAGAGTCAAAGTTACATTGCGACTGACGGTCAGTCAGTCAGTAAGTCTTGGTGTCGAGCCCCATCTAAGGCTCTCATGACCAGATATTAATTATTACTGTTTGACAGTTACGGTCTTATTTTTGTGGGGCGCCCTCTCTGACGAGAGGACGGGTGTCTTTTGCATATGCTGCTGGCCCTTGCCAGCGCAGTCTTTGTCGGGTCCGAGTCCCTTGGGGTGAA